GTTTCGTCTAGGTAATTCTAATTTGAATTAAAAAATAAATTATAAGTCCGGTATTTCTGCCACAAAAATTGCCTAGAGATTTTTCAGAAGGGGTCATCAAAGTATCACACATAATATCCAAAATCAGGAACGGCCTGGGATAAAAAATCAGTCCGGGAAAACGTATTACCTATATAGGTTTTATAGCCTGTAGGTCACATATTTTCTATGTCTACGTCATAGGTGTAACTAGGTGGATTGTGGTGAGAGGCCCGATCATATATGGATATGGACATCATAATTTTGCAAAATTGTAAATTACCGATGCCGTAATCTTTCTAGCTTATAGTTACCTAGTTATAAAGGCTAACAGTTCGTCTGAGCTCAGAATAGTTTTCAGTATATTTAACTCAAATTTAACACATCCATAACAGTGACTTACTCAATATGACGAGGTACACTCGACACCTCTCAGACCTCAGTAGATTAAGTACCTACTCTCTCACTTTTTAAACCAAATAAACGTACTCTTCACTTGGCACCCAAATTATTTTCGATCAATCTAAATTTTATTTTTATTTAAAAAACTAATTTTGATTGCTATTATATTGTCTATATGACACATTTTACTTTCCACATTTAATGGTAGACATTGCACTCAATGGCATAGACAATCATTTTTATTAGGTACCTAACGTCAGAGGATATCAGCGCACTATTTGTTTTCTCTATCTGGCCAATGCTCAACATGGACAAAAGTACAAAACGCATTTACGCAGAATCATTTTTTCTATGTTTTTAATTAATCTTAGAGTAAAATCACACATCACAAAAAAGATAGAAAATAATATTTTTATCGATTTGTCTAAATATTGTCTCAAAACAATTAAAAAATAATTTAAATTTACAGTATTTTTTGTTTATTTTGAAAGTCGAAAACAAAGTCAAATAACAATAAAATATAAAATCGATATGTTACTCTCTATCTTTTTTTGTCTATGCTGCTCGTGGGCCAGAGAGAGAGTGCTCTGTCATCCTCTTAACGTCCAGTCCTGTTTGATATTTTAATTTTTATCGTGTAGGATCTACACTGTAGATTATGATAGAATATTAATATTATCGTTTTATTATGTAAAGTTGACGTTTTCGACTTCTAGCTATTATAAACCGTATTATTATATCGGTAGTATTCACAACAATTAACAGGTATTTTGTTTTTTTTTAGTTAAAAATAATTTTAAAACAACACATAGTTCACAAGTTGCTGTCGTTTAACATCACTAAGGGAAAGCATTGTAATATTTTATATTATAATAATATTATCCAAACTTCGTGCCAAGATGTAAGTAGGTGCTCGCCTATCAATAAAATGTATAATTTTACAAATACGACGACCGTCGACAGAAAGAGTCAGTAAACAATAGTTGTTATTACTGTACACACGTCAGGTGGAATATACTATGTGGAAAATATTATGTAAGTTATATTAATCACTATAATCTATAATTTATAGCTATTAGCTGCAGCAAGTGTTATTCAAAATTCGACGATCGAATGGCGTGAGCCACATACGCTGTTTGAGCAATACCTACCTACGATTAAAGCGGATTGTTTCTCTGCAGATTTGATATAGGTAGGTATACGATTCGGCGGCGACGTTGAGACGAAAAAAATTGTCAGTGTTAAATATTTAATATTGTACGGGAAAAACGAAATTAATTAATAATGGTGAAAAAAGTTGCGAAACTTATTAAGATAAGATATAATTATATTATTTCAAAGTCTAAATTAGTCACTAGGAGTTACAAAATAATATGTCAGATCTTATACGATTGTCTTGTTTTTAAATTTTTGAATTTATTAAATATAATACCTATAACATATTTATTTAGAGGTAGCTCTGGTAGTTATATAAACCTAAGCATAATATTTAATTTTATCTCGTGCTGAATTAACAAGTTTTTCGGCCTTCGATGTACTGTGAACGACAACTCAATTTATTTAAGATCAAATTTTAGTGTAGTATGGGGGTATATATTATAATTTCGGTGCATTATAATTAAAGATCTGAGGGAAACAACAAAACATTTCCAATTAATACAATTTTTCAGGAGACATTTTAAACTGTTTTAAAAATTAACAAAAAATTGAAGTAGTTTAGCCAATGACAAGTTGTCAAAATCAAATTTTTTGTTGTAAAAAAAAAAAAACAAAATTTGGAGTTGAATTTTTGTTGCACTAAGAAATGTTATACATATTTGTTATGAATAAGAATAATTATGTTATTAATATGAAAAACGTGTATACTTATACCTACATCATTGTTCATTGTTAAAAATCATTGATTTTCAGAGGAAATAATATTTATTTTTCTATAACGTACCAAAACCAAAATATAAAACTTGGTGATGCCTTGTTGTACTAAAATCAAAATTAGGCATCTCCATTTATAATATTAAAAATGTGGAGACGTCTCGTTCTTGCACAAAAATAAAAACCAGACATCTCCATTGACTTCATTTAAATGATATCTCTGTATTTAACAGTCGGATTGTTGTACAAAACGAGGAAGTTTTTTTTTGATAATGTGCAATCAATAACTAATTTTCACAAAAATATGGAGATGTTTTGTTGTTGCCCTCAGGTCTTCAATTGAGTTCCTTATCACCTGAATGAGGAAAACAATAATATATGTAAGCACTGTTGAATACTGAAGTAGTGAAGTACAGTTCCAGTGTTCAGTCAAACTGTTTTGGTTTTTCGAGCAACCACACGCCGACTTGCATGACGGTTTGTCGTTAGATGCCTAAATTATTCCGGCAAGCCAGTAGTTTGCACAGCTGATAATGTGATTCATCGGTGGGCGTTATGCGTGTTCAACTTCGTGCATTGAAACAACAAAATTGTGAGTGTTAAATGTGTATTATTTCAAATACTGGAAAAATAAATAAATAAGAGGGAAAAAAATCGTGAATCTAATTGATTCAGAATACGATTATACGATGGACAAACTGACAAACTTCATGCGATAGAGTTGTTTTTAAATTTTTTTGATTTTTTGAAGTATGGTGCCGTGGTGTATAGCCGTATAGGTTTGTTATATATAGTTTATTATTTATACTGATCTTGTGCTAAGATGATACATTTTTCGGCAGTCAACGATCCTATACTTAGCCCTCCAACTCACTGACCCATCCTTGACTGCCGAAAGTGATATTTTTAATTTAACTATCATTGGTACTTACACGATCCTTTTTTTGAATAGTCCTAAGTATTCAGGTACGTTTGTCCATGTGTGTGTAATTGAAAACTGAAAGACCGTTTATTTTAAGTCAGTTGGGTTAACTAACCTCGGCAGTTTTTTTTGGGATGACAAATGCAGGCAAATTGTTTTTCATCGTCCATCGTCTTTCCTTCATTAAAGCATATGGGGTCAAATATTAAATAGGTACAACTATAGATAGACCACGCCAATATGCTGCAATCATTTATCGCTCATTATTTTAATTTGGATTTGACTCATATGGATGCAGGAGACGAGTATAGATACTTATTTATCACCTCCTAATAACACAATGCGCCACCAGTGAGTCAAATCTAAATTAAAATAATGTGTGATAAATAGTCGTTGTCTATCTATATAATATAGTAGATAGTAGATATTATTGAAATGTATGATCATAATAAATATTTAGGTATTTATGCATGTATATGAGGATGAAGAGTTGTATATTGTAATCAATATTTTAATAAACTATATAATAATTGGAAAGTTGAAAGTTGGGAATAGCTTTAGTTATGTGCATATAGTATATAGAGTAACCTGGGGTATTATGGCGCATGTGGCAAAATGAACTATTGTGCATAAGTAATTTAATAATTGCTATCTGGTATTCTGGTCAAACATTTTTGTTATTATGATTATGTTATCATAGCCAAATGTGATGAAACATTTTTTTCAGCAATTGATGATGTTTTGGCGGCAATATGAGGTAAAATATTAATTGTATTCGTCTGATATAATATTTGACTAGTATAGAATTAATGATGTGTACTATAATAAACGACACGTTAGATGTTGCTTTTATATATATTCGTTTAGTACAAGTAGGTGACTAAACGTCAATACTAGTAAAATATTAATAGGATAACAACTGAATATACTACTACAATACTGTTTATGCAGAAAATCATATTGGGATAAAATGGCTTGGTGGGTTTTGGGGTAAGAGTGCGCAGTATTTCTTATGTGATAATTGACTACCTACTTATATAAACATTTAATTTTTCTAGCTAGAAATTGAATTAATTATATCTATTTAGTTATTAATTTATTTAAACTAATAGGCACATTATATCTACGATGTATCAACAAATGATTAAATAATATTATGTAATATTTATTGAATAATTATACTTAAAAAAAATAATTCGACTTAGTATTTACTACTAATACTGTATTAATTATATATTATGTTAGGATTGTTAGGAACTATTATATTATGCATGCATATTATATACATATATTTATAACTTATTATTTGATAAAAATAAAATAGATTTTTATGAATAAATTTAGCATGCGGCGGCCTATTACCCCATTAGGTGCGCACTTTTACCCCAATAACGGGGTAAAAAGACGCATTTGCTATAATTTCTAATTATTCAGAATTTTTGGTAAGTATTTGCTTTGGTAAAATCAAATTTTGACCTGAAAATTGAAATCTAAGTAATATTTATGATAGGAAAACAATATAACAATATTTCTAAAACGTGTACTATGCTACCACATACCAGATGCTAAATGTTAGGTGCACCATTATACCCCAGGTTACTCTATCTATAAAGTATAATATATAAAATATAAATTATCCCTCAGTATGAGTAGTGTATTATATGCTCATATAGGTACCTATTATGGTTTTCATAAAATATATTTTATATATATTTTGTTTGTTGTAAATCTGAAATCAAGCCACAATAAGACGCAGCTAAATAGGGGTCATAGCAGATAACGGGTAATGCGTCGTGGGTGGTTCTGCCGATTGGCTGGATCGCTAGCCGCGGCCCTGATGGTCGCGCTGTGCGTGTTCAACTTCATAATGACACCGTACTTTGAGTGTCAGCTTGACGGAGACACCTGCGACGAAAGCGTAAGTATGATGGCCGGCATCTTCGCCCGGTCGGTGAGCATCACGTGTCTGGTGACGGTGGCCGTCGTGTGGCGCAGGTACCGCGGTGCAATGGTGGCGTACCGCGAGCGCGCCGAGCTGATCGACACGTACTCGGCACCGGCCACCGCTGCGGCCGCCTCCGCCAATTCGCCTTACGTCGACCACTCAACGTTCGCCGGTGTCGTGTTGTGTGTGTGCGTGACGCTCATCTTACCCATCAACTCGTTCCGTTTGTATCGATTTGTCATGGACGACCGACCGGTGACCGTGATCTTGTACTTTGCACTCATGTACTCTCAAAACCTGTACGTGTGCTTGTACGAGATACACTTCGTGCGGCTGTTCTACGAGCTGTACACGAGGTACACAGACCTCAACCGGGATATGGAGGCCATCGGCGAGCGGATCGAGGACGGCCGGTGCGCGCGCGACGAGCCGCCGCCCGGCCGCGATGGTTGGATACCATACGACGGGGACGACGAGCACCGACCACTCTATCTCTATTACTCGTCGGCCACAGGGCAGCCGCTGGTGGACGCGGTCGAACGGCTCCGGATCAGGCACCGGCTGATCCGCGAGGCCATGGACGCTCTCAAGCCCACGTTTGCGGTGCCCATCGGCCTGTCGCTGTGCAACCTGTGCGTGATGATCCTGTTCGACGTCTACTACCACCTGAAAAACTCGGTCGATCAACCCGCCGGGGACTTGGCCAACGTGTACATATTCCTGTGGATCGCCCAGTACACCTTCCGATTTTTCGTCATCACCATGACGGTGGACGTCACCGTGAAACAGGCGAGTTGATAATTTATTGAAATTCCGGTAGATATCAAGAAGTATCTCCTCAAAAATCTGCCTTGCACCTCTCTAAAAATTAAATGAGAACATAACTGTAGTGTTATTCACACAATTCGTCAACATTTATTATAATTTAAAGTTCCCTGTCATATTGAATTAGGAATAAACAAATGTTTATTTCCACACTGATCTCTTGTAAATATATCTATATTGACTTCATCCATTAGGATTATAATCCATTTTATTATGAGATTTATTTATTGTTTATACGTTGTATGTTTTTTTCTATATAGGCACTCAGGTCGAAAGAAACAATAACGGATGTGAGCAGGCATTGTTTAGATATTAGTACGAAAGAAGAGGTTATTATTGTTTTTTACCCTATTTGCTACTATATTATTATAAACTATTTAATTTTGAAAATCATTTACCTTATCTTTTTCAGTTACAAATATTTTCAAATCAAATATCTAGTACTGCGATTGAATTTACGATGTGTGATCTTTTCAGTTTAAATGCACGCCTCTTCACATCTGTAAGTTAAATACAAATGTAAAACGTGAAATATAAAATATTATGAACCAAGAAAGGATATTACGTTATTAGTTATCCATTGATAGGTAATACGATGTATTAACGGGAGTTATAAATATATAGAGCCGTGTCAAGCAATTCAGTGCCTCGGGGAAATTCGCGCCCCTTCCATACAATTTGGGTTACAGGTAGCATAATAAGCTCAAAAAAGGCCCCCCTTACTTTTACAAAACTACGGTGCCTGGAGGCAATTGAACCCTTTGTACCCCCCCACCACCCACTTATCACGTCTCTGTAAATATATTAAACACGAAGAAATTGATTCGATTTGAAATTTGGTTTAGTCTTATGATTGATTTTGCATCGTGAATTTATTAGACTCGCTTTTGTTCCTCGAAAATTCAATATTATTTTTCAAAATGTAAATAAATGTAAATGAAAATATATGTATACTGTCGAATATTTCACCGACACGGTGACGTAATTTAATAATTACAATGACATTTCATAATTACTATAATTTAATAGAATAAAGAGACAATAATAATATTATCGTGATTGAATTTAAACAAATTTACATAAACGAGTTGTTAAATAATGTTGACCGATAATTTAGATAAAAAAAAATATACATAGTACACACTCAACACGAATAATTTACGTAGTTTGTACAAAATATTATTTCTGTTTTGTTTTAGGCTGTGGGTGTCTGTATCACGTACCTAGTAATATTACTCCAGTTCAAAATAAAGGTGGATAATGTTTATTAGAAAAACGTTTAAAAATACATGCTATATGTGTAGTCGATTTCTAGAAATTAATAACAATGCACATGTGTAACTTTGTAAGTATACATGGACTGCAGTGTATAATATTATATATACATAGTAATAACTGAATCGCGGACGTTTCCCCCCTCCCCCGACTGTTTTTGGTGTAGTAGGACCTTTTCCCCTTAATATATTTTTAATTTGGATATTTCCCCCCTTTTTTTGTAAAGTTTACTATTTAATAATACAATATTATTATTTAATATGAAATTAATTCATGCCTATTGTCTGATATTTTCATAAATACCTATAATAAATTATAGATGTATATTTTTGATCAACTGAACTACTATTGAATTAAATTCACAATTAAATGTACAATTATTTAATTGTTAAATATTCAAACTGGTACAGTTTTAACAAAAAATAAATATGTACAAAGGCTAAAAAATATAGGTTAAGAAATAACAAAAGAATCAGAATTCAAATGTTTTTTACAAAATGTATAATTTTTATGTCGGAATTTTTAATCATTTTTATTAATTATTAATTATATTTTACTTTATACCTTATTATTATTATTTTATTGTTTCAAGTAAGTAGTTCAGTTGATCAAACAGATACATTTATAATTAATATAATCTATTATATTTATGAAAATAAAAACTATTTTATATTTTATTTAAAAAAAAATTTCATATTAAATAATAAGTTGTATTAAATTATTAGTCAATAATTAACTTTAAAAAAATGGGGGGGGGGAAATGTCCGCATCAAAAATATATCGGAGGAGAAATTTCCTAATAGACCGAAAACAGTCGGGGGGGGGGGAATGTCTATTTACCGTAATAACTATATATGTACTTACAGTGGCCTAATTTCTAGTTGAGTTTTCCGATATTTAATCCATAGAATATTTCAACATTGCCATTAAATAGTAAGATAAATTTTTAATAATGAACAGTATTTAAATACCTGCATTCGACTTTGTATCGATCTCGGGCATAACTTCAGGGAATGTCGTTATACTAGATAAAATTATTTTTAAACAATTTCCTACATTGCTAAAATTTTAACTTTTATAAGCGATTCAATAAACATACTATTTTTGAACAATCACTAGTCATATAGGTTCTCATGTATACTTTCTATTAATCGATAATGTGTAAGCAATGCTTTTATATTTTATACAAATAGCTTATAAATATCGTCATTTTGATTATGTATATGTAATATTTCAATGTCAAAAATAAACTGTTGGAAAATAATTAATTTTCAATATTGGATACCTCATAACACACAGTGAAAATATTTGATAATAGTACATGCACAACGCAGATTATACGTAAGTAAAGCAATTATTAAATGTATGTTAATATACTTAATTCTGTAGTTTTGGATGTTTAAGTTCATAAACTAATTTTTATTTCATTATATTTTTTTATCAACACTTGTACAGTTATTTTACGAAAACAAATTATATAATCATTAATCACTAAAGAAAAGAATATTAGACAAGTTACATATTTTTTTCCTTGTAAGAACGAAAAACAGTCAAGCTAATTTCAACAGTGGAACATAATAATATCAAATATGTACCTTATCAGATAATAATTTTAAAAATAGTTTTTAATTCCTCACAACATGTAGATACTAAAAATTTAAAAGTAACGAATGTAGCAACTATTAATTTTATTTTTAATTCACAGTACAAAGTAGGTATTTGTTAGAACATGACATATTGTAGATATTTCAAATGTACAATATTAAAAAAAACCGGGAAAGTAGCTTTTCAAGTGTACCTTCAGGATTGAGTTGGTCACTGCATGGATGTGTTGGTGCTAATATATTATGTACCTACGTGTTAAAGATGAATTATATATTATGATAGACATCACAAACAAAAAACAATTTCGAGTGGATACAGTAAGTCGAAAAATAACAGTCAGCCTCTATCTTTAAAGATATTTTTAAATTTAATTATACTATGCTTTTAACAATTTTATTTTTATTATTTAAGTAATAAGGTAAGATGCATTTATATTTGCCAAAACATCGCATATATTAAACAATAATAATAATTATAAATATCATTATATTATGATAATTGATATTTCTCTCAACTCATAACTCAAAAATCAATACCGATGCTGACGTGACTCCAGGGTGAGATTGAGACACACCAGGCCTGAGGGTTTTCCCTAGAAAATTATGTTAATCAATATAAGTTATAATAAAATTGTTCATTTCTATGGGTTTTGCCACTCCCCCCAAAAAAATAGATCCCCGGGGTCACGCCTGTACCAACATACAAGTACATCTTATAGATCGGTATAATATAGGTATGTAACCAATTTTCTATCGGCATCTACCTTCAATGTTGATAATTTTTATTGCTCTAAAAGATGATGACTGACAAAAAAACACACTGCTGTAAAACCAATACATCTATGATTTGTCACCCCCCTCAGAATCTAAGTTAGAGAAAATAGTTTTTAAAAAAGTACTTTGATCGTTGTCAGATTAGTGAACACTTTAATTATTATTGTTATTTTAGGACCCTGAAATGAATAACACAGTAATTTAACATATATATATATATTATATATTATGTAGTGTACAGTATTTATCGTTATAGATTAAGGAAAGTTAACACTTTTCAAGGATAAGCAACTATTTTTAAACGGCTTTAATAATGGTTAATAGTGTTAAGACTAATAGACAATAAGTTATGTTGAATTTCATCTAATGCTCATACAAAAAACACAATAGTATATTCATGTTTTATAAATTATGCGTTCATTACTCATTCCACTGACATAAGTGACAATAGTAAAACATTTGACATCTGAAGAAGTATAGTCTGCAAGAAGCAAAAAATTATAGTGATAAGAACAGTCAATGTTATATCATTGCACATTAGCAGTATACCTAAATGTATACCTAACCTACATGTAATTTTTTTTTTTATTATTTTCTGATAAATTACCACAATAATTAGTACAATTATTTTTTCCCAAACAGAATTGAAGTACGTACCTTTACTCGTTTTAAGTCGGAAGGAATTGTTTTCTCTCAATATTAGTATAATATTATGTAGGTAGTCTATTTAATTTTTAATCGTTCGTTCGTTTTTGACGATCAGATGGAATTTCGTGAACCACTTTCCGAATAATATCATTCAAATTATCTCAGAGGTGAATGTCTTCATATATATATATATATATTCGACTACAATGTCTTAAGCTGGTACCGCGTACTATATAATAGTATAATATTAAGATACAGAAGCTGCAGACTACACACTCCTTATATCCCACTATAACTACCTACCGTGAAGTTATAGAAATAAATTCTCTCTTTATCACAATGTTTGTTATGTGATCTGAACCATCGACGAGTTATAGCCATCGTCTATAGTCTATGTTACGTCACTGACTCAAAAACCGCTCTCCCTTCCGCCCGGCATATTATGTCGTTTTTATCTTCGCTGTCGACGTTCATGCTTCCTCGCAGCCGTACTACTTTCACCTGACAGCGCAATAGCTGTGAACTCGTAACCGAGCACACGTACAATAAGCTACGACAGGAGTGATCGTCTAACGTGAGTAAAACATTTTTTTTCATTTTATATAGTAAAAATTCATAGTTATTCAAAGTTTCTGCATAGGTTTTTCACCATAAAAGATATCTAATATCTAAGTAGTGAGTAATTAAAACGCTTTTCTTACAACGTGTCATCACTAATTATAAATTGTAGACGATACCGACCTTATAAATCATTACGATATCGACGCATAATATCAAGTTTCTGGTTAGTATACAAATAACTGAAACATTTCTAAAATTTAAAATCATTATAGCAGTAAAAATATGCAAAACAATATTTTATGGGACGAACGGAAATTCCGTAAAAATGCGTTTACCTATAACGTATAGTTAGATAACATTATAAAACGTTTTCATTTTGATAATAACAGCTGTATTTATTATTAAACATAATGGCATAATGGTGTATTATTGTATTAATATATTTTAACAAGACATTAATAATTTATATATTGCTCGATAGCTGACCGTAATTTAACAACTATTTAAGTTAGACAGTACACATACACTCATTGGTCCTTAAAAAAGCATTAGTTAAGTATCTATTGGCCATTTCATTAGAAGGTAACATTGTAATCTGGACTGATGCACAGAAGTGTATTATTTTTATTTTTTAAGGAGTTAGTTTCCAAAAGGATATAATGATAAAAGTACAATAAATTTATTTTTTGGTATAAATGTATAATACAAGAAAAGCCGTCTAAGTAACTATCGTTCTATTGGTGAAATTAAGTATAAAAGATTAAACCAGCAAGATAAAAACATTAATACATTTAATTCTAACAACCCTTGTCGAACGGTGATATTTATATTTAGAAATAAATATAAGTTACCTAGTTTTAAAGTAAATTTACTACTTAAGTATAAATAAAGTATATACTTATACCTAATTTGTTTAAAATATTTTCATACTCTAATAATTATATCACGACAAATGTACTTAATACCTCATTTTTATGTAAAACGAACATCTATGAAGTACAATTCATTATTATAATATTATTTCAAATGCCATTACAAATGAACAATGATTATAATGACTGTGTTGGTTTTTAAGAACAATTACAATACATATAATGTTCACTGCATTATTGGTGTCATCATATAATAATATTTAAGTCATTTGTAGGTATAATTGATTTTTTCAAAATAATTTCCTTGATAGTTTTAAATTATTATAGTCGAGGGCCGAGGTCTCCAAAAATTGTATACCTCTCTATGTACCGTTTGTTAATTTATATGGTATTAAAGTCGTCAATAAGTATTTTATATTTTTACATTATTATACTTACAGTTCGTTTTTTATTTTGATTTGATACTATAGCAATTATTATCAGTACACTCACGTATTAAATAATAAAATTTAAACAAGCACTCTCAAAAATCTTAAA